AGAAAGGGGTTCACGGTCACGGTTTTGTGATTCTGTGATTTTCCCCTTTCTCAGGCCAGATTTTGGGCATCTGCTGCCCCTTTTCACCACAAGCTGCCTGCTTAAACGTTTGGCGAGCAGGGCTCGGTGTCCCTTTACCAGACCAGCCATGAAACCAACTTGCTAATTTATTTTTTTCCTGGCTACTCAGCGTCTCTCCCTGTTTCTCTCTCAGTCCTGCAGTGTGCCACCGTCATCGGCTTTTTTTATCCTGGGCTGCGGGGGTACAACAGCAGCACAAAAAATACCACGGTTCCCAAGTCTACGTCACCTTCGCCGTCAGCTTCTACCTGGTGGCGGGCCCCGGGGGAGCCTCCATCCTCGCCACCGCCGCCAACCTCCTGCGGCACTACCCCACCGAGGAGGAGGAGCAAGCCCTGGAGCTCCTCTCTGAGATGGAGGAGAACGAACCCTACCCGGCCGAATACGAGGTGATCAACCAATTCCAGCCCCCACCGGCGTACACCCCCTGATGCTGCCGGCACCGGGCCGCGCTTACGGCTTTCTACAACCCCTAAATTTCATTTTCTTGCCACCTCCTTCCCTCTTCTGATCTCTCCTGCGCAGAGGAAAAAACTTTACGGGTCAGATGACTGGCGTTTTCTTCCTATCCTTTATTTTATTAACTCCATGATGTGATTTTTTAATGCCACACCAGCTCAGCTGTCCAAAATAACGACAGCGGCATCCCCTGGCATGAGCCGTGACGGGATAAAATAATGCCAGTGTCGTCCCCTGGCACGAGGGGTGATTCTGCGGCAGAGATCTCGTCCCCACGCTGCGCCAGGGAAGAGGAGAGGGAAAATCCCGCTGAATTCCCAGCCCAGTGAACTCAATCTCTCCTCTGTCGAGGCAGGGCATACACCCAGAGATGGGTGTGACGCACGCGTGGGGATGCATTTAAATGTAGAGGTATCGGGGGAGAGGACCAGCCCTCCCCAGTGGCTGTACGGCAGGAGGAAGGCAGAGCGAACCCCCCGACCCGGCGCTGACCACACGAGCCTTTTGCACTTTATTTCAGCCTCGGGGGAGGATGATGATGGTTTCGGGGACCGTCGCTGCCAGAAAACCCCCCGAGAGGTTTGTGAGCAGGCGGCACAGCACGGGCGGGTTTCACAGAAGTTCCCGTCGGCCTCTCGCCAAGCGACTCTCGGGGTTTTGTAGCCGCGACACAACCAGACTTTGGGGCAGCTCCCAGGCAGCGGGTTGAGCCCGCGCTGGCAAACTGGCGCCTCTGCCTGTGGCTTGTATGCAAGTTCCTCATCTCTGCGTTGGTCTGACTCTTCTGCTTGTTGCTCCTGCTTTTCATCTCGGTGGTTTTCTGCCCAGCTTTTCGGTTTTATTACCCCCTTTCCCCTCTGCAAGCCCTGAGAGATGCCAGACCTTGAGGAGCAAAGTCGAGGAAAAGCCAATCCAGGACCTCCAAACCTGCAGCCAAACATGAAGGAGATTAAACCCGGAGGAGGTAGCTGGCAGGCGCAGAGCGGGTTTTCTTTTTGGGGGGGGGGGGCTGTTTAAAGCAAACCAAACAGGAAACAAAACCCTGCAGCGATGCGTTGACCTGAGGATCGCCACACCCAAAAACCTGAGGCTGGCTCCGTGGGCCAGCACGGGGTTTAAGGAAGGTACGGTGGTTTAAGGAAGGAGTTTTAGGACAGGTTTTAGGCTCCTGACGATCCCTCTAACGCTTTTATTACCTATTTTCTTCCTGCCAGCTGTCTTGCCCAGCTCGCCCCCCCCCTTTTTTTTCCCACCCCTGCACTGGCTATGCAAGAGCTTCGCCCGCTCTGGGGCTCCAGCTGCGGCACAAATCTGGAACATTCGTCCCAGCTTGAGCG